TATTCAGTAACTCCCACTCATGTCAAGCGTGTTAGAGACCAAAAAAGGAATAAGATGTCGAATTATGAATGCACTAACGTCTCGGTTATCTTACCCACCTGGAGTCTCAAGGCCGGACTGCTGCGGGGTGAGGCCAGGTGCAGCACCCACTTTCTTTTTCTTAATTGTGTATTTAAAAAAGAGTACTAAAACTAATGAATGTTTACTGTTAAAAAAAAAAACAGGTAAGAAAAAAAATTGCCAAAGACACCCATAAACAGATCACCCAGATATTTTGAATTTCACTTTTCTTGGTGCTCAGCGTAAAGTCTCCAAATCCTGAGGACCTTTATCTGTTAAAATGTAGCTTAGAATTCCCTGTGCTTAGCTGTCTTAAGTACTAAAATAATAACATGCTATGAATACGCGGTGTGGATGGGGCCAGTTTGACATGGGGCTTTGGCATGTTTCCTTCAATTTCAGATATTTTGGTCACCAAATATAGCTAGGGCTAGCAGGCTAGTATTTCTGTTTAATTGAAAATGTTTTTTCTTCAATGTTCAGTTATTGGTTTTCTGGGGTTTTTTGTGGGTTATTTTGGTGGCTAGCCAGTTCAGGGGTCAACCCTGGACCTTAGTGTTACCCGCACCATGTTCTAACCACCTGCTTAACTGCCCAGCTCTGTGGGCTCTAACTGTTACCTGTAGTGCTGCTTTCTTTCTCTGACCACCTTCAGATTTCTGTCCCCAAGAAGCTAAGAGTTTGGGTTTTTCACTCCTGGTGAGAGTTACTTATTACGTCATGTTCCTTAATCTGGGAGATCTTTGAGAGTTTAATTTTATGATTTAAATTTAAATGACAAAATGTCATTTGACATAGTGCTACATTGATGGTGAGGAATAATTAAATATCTTCTTTTCCTAGACTGTGTTGGGGAACACCCACAGCACCAAGCACGTGATGACAGCTCAGGGAACTTCAATTTTATTGACGGGCTAAAAGCAGTCCATTCGTAGCGGCTGGCTGTGTTTTATTTCAGAATCTAATTCGGTAGGGGCCGGCCCGGTGGCGCACTGCTACAGTGTGCCACTTGGGAGCGTGGCGGCGCTCCCGCCGAAGGTTTGGATCCCACATACAGACCGCCGCTCACTGGCTGAGCGAGGTGCGGGAGCAACACCGAGGGTTGCGATCCCGTTGCTGGTCCCGGTCCAGTACGGGCATGACACTGAGGGTTGCAATCCGTTGCCGGTCACGAAAAAAGACAAAAAAAAGGGAAAAAAATTTTTGGGCCGGCCCGGTGGCGCACTGCTACAGTGCGCTGCTTCGGAGCGCGGCGGCGCTCCCGCCGAGGGTTCGGATCCCACATACAGACTGGCCGCTCACTGGCTGAGCGAGGTGCGGGAGCGACACCGAGGGTTGCGATCCCGTTGCCGGTCCCGGTCCGGTACGGGCGCGACACTGAGGGTTGCGATCCGTTGCCGGACACGAAAAAAAAGTCAAAAAAAAAAAAAAGCATCTAATTCGGTAGCATTTGAGCTAGTGCCTGGGAATGCATTTTCTTGATGTTATTCCACTCCAAGTGGGATAATTGAGTGGCACATAGAATGGCCTTTTTTGAAAATGAGTTACACGTTCTGTGACTTTTGATTCTGGCAGGTCCTGGAACACACGTATATGTACACATACACTCTTACACACATTTGTACACATATGCATTCACGTACATGGCCAGATGTGTTCTCCTGAAGCACGTTCGTCCTTCCAGTGTGGCTGCACCATGGGATTCAAAATGACAAGGGTGGCCTGCCTGGTCCAGTCCCTGCCCTGCCTGTCCCTGTAGTGCTCAGGGTGTGATGAACTCTTCCACACGGGGGCTGTGCCTCCTTTCTCTGTAACTCCTGGATAGCATAGTGTCCAGCTCACAGAAAGGACCCCATAGAGGAGGAGGATAAAGGAATGTTCCTGTCAGTCTTTTGCTAAGTCTTTTTTATTATTTTTTTCTTTTTTGGGGGGTGAGGCTGGCCAGTACGGGGATTAAACTCCAGACCTTGGTGTTACCAGCACCATGCTCTACACACTTGAGCTGACTGGCCAGGCTTTATTATGTTTTGTTCACTGTGTGTGAGGCAGAATTCCATTCTGCTGGGCAGTGGTAGAGGTGATGAAAGTTTTTAAAATAAATGTTTTTTTAATGGAAGATGAGTTTTTTTTTTTTTTTGCCGATTAAGCATTTATTTTATTAATCTAGTTGCCACAAACGCAAACATATTCCATTTGACTGAGGACGTAATTTGTAAGTAAAAAGATGCCACACATTGTTCCAATGTTTATGTAATATATGTCTTTGTTAAATGGGGCCCTGCTTCATTTGTAATGAATATTAAATACTGTGATAACCTTGTGGAGGTATGTGTTTAAAAATCAGCAGTGCATTAATGAGATGAGCCCGTTTTAATTCGCACTTCACCCTCTTTGTTTTACTATTAAGGGTCATTTTAAAAACTATGTTACTTAATCTTTTACGTGCCAAATGGTATGAGATTTAAAAGATACCAGATCGTAAGGTTGAAAGGGAAATCGGCTCATTACCTTGCCCCTCAGCCACCTAGTTCCCTAACCCCAGATCAGCAGCTGTTAAGTTTTTAATCTTAACCACAAATATTCTCAGCCTTGACAAGCATATGTGTATCTTTTTTTGTTTGTTTGTTTTGTTATTTGTCTTTTTCCGTGTCCGGCAACGGATCGCAACCCTCAGTGTCGCCCCCGTACCGGACCAGGACCCGCAACGGGATTGCAACCCTCGGTGCTGCTCCCGCGCCTCGCTCAGCCAGTGAGCGGGAACCGGTCTGTATGTGGGATCCGAACCCTCGGGCGGGAGCGCCGCCGCGCTTCCCAAGCGGCGCACTATCCAGTGCGCCACCGGGCCAGCCCCCATATGTGTATCTTACATTCACACCCCCAGCATACACTTAACACACATACGTGCACACACGCATGTGCACACACACACACACACACACACAGGGATCCTATATACCTTACTGTCATCACTTAGTATTAGCTTGGGGATAGCTCCACTTCAGTATGTTGAGGCTTTCATCACTTTTGTTGGCTGCACAGTATTCCACTGTATGGACACACCCCAGATAACTTAACATGGTTACATGCATTTGGGAGATCATTGTCATTATCCGTCAGTCTTCCCTGCACCATCAGGATCACCCTGCACATCCTATAAGGCCACATTCCCACTTCCCTGAGAGAGCAGCAGAATGACAGGAAGTAAGTGTTTTGCAACTTAATTAGCAGTGTTATTAAGTAACATGTAGGTCACCATTTACTGAGCACCTGCTGGGTGCTAGGCACATGCTAATGCGGTTCATGCTTTATCTGTTCACAGGCATTGTCTTACTTGTGGCATGTCAGGGTGGTGTTTGGCTGACCAAAGAGTGAGTGTTGAGGTGTACAGCTTAATTTGCACCCCAGTATGTAGCCCCCGATGTGTCCCATCATTGGAGAGACAGTGGACTGGAAGTCTTGGAGGGCAACCCTGGGAGAAGTCTGCCTCCCAGGCATTTTCCTTAGGGCTCTCAGTCTTTCCTTGCAAGCTCCTGCTGGTGAGCTTCTGCCCCTCCACTCTGCTAGCTGGACAGGCATTTCGTTCCCCAGAAGTCCAGCGTCTCTGCTGTTGAACACCAGTCCCTACCAGCTTTCCCCTGACCTTAAGGCTTCCTTCTCAGCCTTGTGTCTTTCCAGCTCCTTAAGGCCGGCCATCTTCTCCTGAACTGACCATCCTTCCTCCAGTCTTTCTCTGACGGGGCATCCCACCTCCTCAGCATTGGGAGGCCCTTGCCTCCGTCACTGCAAGGCCAGCGGCATCTGGCATGTTGCGTGTTTGTCCAGTGTGCCTGGCTTCCTCCCAGCGCGTTTCTTGTCCCTCAGTGTTTCGTGCCCACAGTAGGACCGCACGCTTGGCCATCTGCTTCCATCCTTCCATCTGTTTCATTTGAGCATCGATGCATCTGTTCCAGTGCTTTTCTTGACTTTCAGACATTGTGTGGATCACTTTACTTCTCCTCGGACATAATGTAGAGTTTGAGGAAAACGTGTAGAAAGTGAATCCTGTTGGACAGAGAAGTCTGTGCCCTCAGCTCAGGTCTGGCGGGATCTGTCTGTGTCGACTGAGCTACTGGGTGGTCATCAGGACATATTGCAGGTGTTATCGTGGGGTCTCATGCACAGTAACAAGTGGCATATGGGGGGCACAGAAAATCAGGTTGCGAGTGAGGCCATGGTCATTTGGGTTGTCTCTATTGGGTAGGTGCGCTCTGAGACAGCCGGTGGAGGGGGGGGGGGGCATCCTGAGTGTGCTGACCGGGGTGGGCAAGTGCTGCTGCTGAGAGCTGGGCTCTGTAGACGGCCCCACAGTGCCTGGGGGCCCCATTGTCCCTGACGTATCTGAACGTGTCCTGGCTCGATCTTCAATGTTTAATGTCTTTGTGCGGATCAAAACTCTGACACAGAGTCTTTTTTCTGAACCCTAAAGTGTTGCTTGTATTGTCACCATTTTCGAAATCCAATCTTCTTCTTCCATGCCTTTTTTTTTTTTTTTTTGGCGCCTGTGAGATTTTGTAAAAGCAATTATTTTAGTAAAAAACCAAAAGACCAGAAGTTGACTGACTGGCTATACAGGGTCAGTTCTGGGAAAGCCAGGTGCCTCCTTAAATTTGTCCACACTTGCAAATGGGCACAGGGTTTTAAAATACAACCTCAGCATGTAGCTTGGGCTTTCACAGTTGTAGAATGGAGCGTGTACTACAGACCCCAGACTTGGAATGTCCAGCTTGCACCAGGCTGAGCCGCATGAGCTTGGGCAAATTGTGATCCGTCTGGGATGGGAGTGTAGCAGTGAGGTTGGTCTGTACTGTCTCTACTGAGAAGTGGTGCACATGGGGGCATCTCGACTCAGCACTGCAGGGACTCACAGCGTCTGACTTTGTTTTTGTGCTCCTCTTTTACAGATGCCTTCGTGAATAGCCAAGAATGGACATTAAGTCGTTCTGTCCCGGAGCTCAAAGTGGTGAGTGGTTCCTTGCGGCCTTGGTAGTTGTCATTCCTAACCTGCAGGGAGGGAGGGGGCTCTGCAAGGGGCAGGATGTGACCATGTGAGTGTACGCAGCCTGCATTCTGGGTGGGGCCTGGTTATCCCTTGGGGTCCAGAGGGGGAGCATGCCTCTGGGCATGTCCCTGGGAAGGGCCAGGGTAGCTGATAGTTAAGGCTGGAGCCCTGAGGAAACTGCGAGTCCATGACAGGCACCCAGCCAGTGGTACCCGTGTGCAGGGCAGGGCCTGTCACCATCCTCACTTTTGTGTCCTCCGTGTCTGTCTCTCTCTCTCTCTCTCTCTCTCTCTCTCACATGCTCTCAGACACACACGCGTGCGCGCGCGCACACACACACACACACACACACGTGTGCACGCATACACACGGCTTTATTTCTTCTCTGCAGGATGGTCCTGGAAGGTTTCTGTAATGAGCCATTGGGCTTTGTTATTCATCATTTTTAAAAAGTGACCCTATTGAAAACAATTGAAAGCAGAGCTTTGTTTTTTTTATCATAAACATTACCTTTTCAGTGAGATTATTTAAAACTTAAAGTTGGCTTATGATAAAAATTGGTCTATTGCAGCCACCTCATTGATTTCCTCCCCTACCTTAGGGCAGAAGGAAGGGACAGATCTAACTTTTAGTAATTGTGTTCTTTGTTATAAAATATGTGTGTGGGGGGGTGTATGTATGTGTGTATGTATATGTGTGTAATATTACTTTGTTTTTGTGTTGCCGTAGCAGAATACCTGAGACTGGGTCATTTACAAAGAAAAGAGGTTTATTTGGCTCATGATTCTGGGAGCTGCATCTGGTGTGGGTCTTGGGCTGCTTCCACTCACGGTGAAAGTGGCGGGTGCAGGATCCTAAAGGGGGCGGGGAGGTGCCAGGCTGCTTTTAACAACCAGCCCTGGTGGGAACTCACCCTCCCCCGCACCCAGAGAGGGCATTAATATATTCCTGAGGGATGGGGCCCCCCCCCCCCCCCCCCCCAACCCAAACATCTCCCACTAGGTCCTACCTCCCAACACTGCCACTTTGGGGGATCAGATTTCAACATGAGCTTTGGGGGTGCACACACTTCCAAACTATATATCATGTGTATTTCTCAAGGGAGGGACTCTGACTTAAAAGGGAGGCACCTGAGCTCTGCCGTCCAGCCAGCTGCTGATGGGACCTGGCTCCAGCGAGGCCGGCGTAGCCTCAGCGCCTCTTTCTGTGTGGGTGCTCTTTCTCCCAAGACAGCAGTGGTCTCCCCAGTGATGCAGCGGACCTCAGGGGCCCTTGGCTCCTCCTGCCCATGACCCTGACCTCAATGGGTACTACAGGATTCTCAGGTCTGAGATGAGGAGACGGAGCAGCAAAAAATTTTCAGATCTTTGAAGAGAGCTCGTATGACTTTTGTCTCCAGGAACAATGTGGTTTTCACCTTAAGAAATAAAGGGCACTACATGGGCAGCACCCTGAGATGGGAAGGCCGAGGGCACAGCACCCTCTTCTCCCTGCCGTGATTGCTGGGTATCCTCATCTGAGCCCATCTCCTTCCCATTTCCCATTGATCCTCCCTCCAGAATGCTGACCTTTCTCTGCAGTGCTGCCAGCGGGTCTTCTTCCTTGTGGGAGACGAGGTGTCCATCAGTCCCAGTGCCCGTTTCAGAAGCCTGGGAGCCACAAGAAGCTGCCTTGAAATGGCCGCCTCTGTCTGTCTTCTGTGTGTTTTGTAACTGTCGTGCCCCACACAGTATTTATCATAGAAGACATCCAGGAAATACCTGTCGCATGGGTAAAACAAGTCTGGCATTGTTGCTACCAGGAGTTTTCCAGAAAGATGTGCCAGTTTCAGATACGCTCTGTTAAGACAACCAAAGTGCCATTCAGGTTCTGCCATCAGCATGAAACAGCGAAAGTGGTGTTTCATTGACGACCACAGCATTTGCAATGTGCTGACCGTGCAGGGCATGTTCTCAGGGCTTTACATACTTATCTTATGTAATCCTGCCAGCCGCCCCACAACGGGGAATACTGTTGATATGAAGAAACTGAGGCTGAGACATTAAGAACTAGCCCAAGGAGCTGCAATTAGTAAGCCCTAGAGCTGGGATTTGACCCCGGAGTTGCTGCTGCTTTCCCAGCACTGCCTGATAGAACTTTCTCAATGGTGGAAACCTTTATCTGCACTACCCGGCGCAGTGGCCACTGGCCCCATGTGGCTGTTCAGTGATTGAAATGTGGTTAGTGCCACTGAGGAGCTGAATTTTAGTTTTTGAGTTTAGTTCATTTAAATGGAAACAGTCACGTGGGGCCAGTGGTCACCCTGTTGACAGCATTAGAGTGACTGATCACTGAGTACTGAACCATCTGGTTTAGGCCCAATTTTGACAGTCTGAGATGTTGCAGGTTCAGAGAGGGCCCACGTGATCATATCAGCCCAGAATTGAGGATGTTTACTACCAAAAATTCGTCTTCTCTTGGTGTTTCAAAAGCATGCAATTTTCTGGAATAAATGCCTGGAGGTGTAGATGGTGATTACATCAAAAGGCAGCAGGGGCTCTCAGTCTCAGAACATGACTCTTAGGGCTTGCGTGAAATCCCTGAAGGGGTTGACTGTCTCACAGACAGGTTAACATTTGTTAATGGCTCTGCAGTTCTTTTGGGGAAAGTTTGTGTGGTTGGACCAGGCCCCAGCAGGACCCCCAGCTCTGCTCTGGTCCTGGCATCCTCCTGTTGTCGACTCAGCCGGCAGCTGATGCCCCTCTCTGATGCCCCTAGCAGATCCTGGGTGTGCTGAGGGGTGCTCAGGGTCTGAAGAAAGTGCTGCTTTGTTTCAGGAGGTGGCCTCTGAGGACCCACAGGGCTGCGATTGTTTCCCGCCCTCACGCAGCATCCCGGGACAGGTGGCCCTTAGGTCAGCGCCTGAGGAGCCCTCACCCCCGCTTCACAAATGCAGCAATGACATGACATCACTGCGAGCTGCAATGGACTCTTTATGGAATATTTTGCAATAAATCTTTTGGAGCGCATCAGAGAAAAAGATCCAGTGCTCGCTTTCTTTTCAAGAGTGGTAGTGCCACGTCTTACGCTTTCTGAGGTTGCATTGTGGTCAGACCATCAGTGACTGGCTGCTTTCGGTGCTGCAGAATAGCGCTGGGCAGCCCTGGCCCTGTGCTGCCATCCGGGTGGAACAATAAATGCACTGCAGTCTTCCTGCCTGTCATAGGGGCCTCCGTCAACAACTCATCACACCGTGTTTGTGGGTTTTCGTTGACCTCCTAACCGGGCTTTTTACTAAAAGCCTGATTTCCTTTTCAGCAAACCTCATATTTAGCAGCAAAGTGGTGTGGAAATCGGTCTAAAAGACACTGCAGGGTCTGTCTTATCTTGTAACGTGTAGGTGCCAGGCAGGGGCGCAACAGCTCAGGGTCCTGCACAGACAATGCAGGGTTGATGGTGACAACCTCTTCTCACCTAGAATCCCTAGTTCTGTAATTTCCAGGATGCCTCGTTCCTCCCCACAGAGCCCTTTGGCTCAGGCTGCCTAATGTCCAGTAGCGGTGCTTCACAGTGGAACCTCACCGCGTAGAGAGCTCTTGGCCTTTATTGTATTTCCTCCTCACTGCCAGCTGTGTTTGTATCCAGATTAAAACGGCACCCATGATGTGTGAATATAAGATGGTCGGTGAGACGGCCATTCAGGCCAGGTAGGATGCCTTCCCACGCCACCCCCAGGATTGACCAGTATTGCCCTTCTAAGGGGTGAGCTAAGTCTTTGCCCATCACCTGCATGGAATCAGGGAGGGGATGTTGCCACACAGAGAAAGCACAGACTGAACAGTGTTTGGTTTCTGAGCATTTTCTTCCTCAGGAAAGAGAAACCCTAATCTTAATTAAAAATTTAATTTTGTGGCATACTGTTTTGGATTTTCTCAGCATGAAGCTGACAAACAGCAGGTGCCCTTGAGCAAAAGAATAATTAGTAGGTGGAAATTCTCAGATTATAGAGGCCCAAGATAAAAAGAAGACATACGTTGAGTCAGGCAGGGAAACAGCTTTATTTAGGGTCTGTCCATGTAGTGTGGCTCAGCCCGGCTTGGAGCCGTAGTAAAAAGCATCTCACTTATCCTCGCTGGCAGTGGAGTCATTCATTCACTCATTCATTGATTTATTCAGCCAGTGTTGTTGAGCGTCTCTGCCTTGAGCTGGTGTGCTGGAACTTAGAGAACAAAACGAAGAACACACAGTCCCTGCCCTTGAGGGTGAGTCAGCATTGGAGAGTCAGACCTGCCCATGGATGTTAGTAAAGTAACGTGTTAAGTAACAATACAGCCTTAGGAGCAGAGACTAAGGAAGCCTGGAAGACAGGCGCCCAGTTCAGGCTGTGGCCGTTAGGAAGATAGCTTAGCTCGGCTGCTGTAGCAAAATACCATAAATGAGAGGCTTATAAATATCAGAAATTTATTTCTCACAGTTGTGGAGACTGGGAAGTCCAGGGTCAGGCGCAGGCAGAGTCCGTGTCTGGCGAGGGCATTCTGGTCCATGGGTGGCACTTTCTTGCTATGTCCTCACATGGCAGGAGAGATGAGGGGGTCTCTCTGGGGTCTCTTTTATAAGAGCACTAATTCCATTCGTGAGGATTCTGCCCCTCTGACCTAATCATCTCCCAAAGGCCCCACCTCCTAATACCATCACACTGGTGATTAGGTTTTAACATATGCCCTTTGGGGGGACACAAGCAGTCAGACCTCAGCAGAGGGCTTCCAGAGGAGGTGACATTTGCACTGGTTACTGACCAGTAAGTAGGAGTGGGATTTCGGGCGGCGATTGATATGGAAAGCTCTAGGCGTCTGGAGACAGCAGTGCCTGTGAGGGTGAGATTAGGGAGCTGGTTTATAGAAGGCACAGCCAGGAGTGGGAAGCCGAGAAGCTGAAACACAGGACAGCTTGTGGCTTGTAGAAGGGTCCGTGTGGCTGACAAACAGAGAAGGGGGGCGGTCAGGACCAGGTGAAAGGAGACTCTCTAGGTTTGATGTGCCGTCTTCAGACAGCGGGTGCGGTGGCCTGTGAATATCTTATGCTTCTCTTTTCCACGGCCTCAGGCCAGGTTTGTTCTCTCGTGTGCTTCTGGCTTTGGCATTGTCGTCCACTTAACCAACTTCCTCCCCTTCCCCGCCCGCACCAGGTACTTTCTTGGGGCCTGGAAGTGGGATAAGTGTATGGGTTCAGAGCTGGTGCTCCTGCTGGTATCCAAAGACACAGATCTTGGCCTTCAGGGACCTAAGTGTAGCGGGAGACAGAGCCAAGAACATCACCAGTCACAGTGCGAGGGGAGGGGCCTTCCAAGGAGAGAGTCAACTCCATCAGTTGAAGGGGTGGGGGGTGCCCAGGTGAAAGACATAAGGTGCTGGTGTGGTTAGTTCCCAGACCTTCTGCTGGGCCTGCTTGTCTACAGCAAAGTCATGTGCAAGGATTTGGAGGAAGACAGCTTGTTCCTCAAACATTTGGACTTTGTCCTCCAGGTATTAGGAGTCTCCCCAAGGGTTGGGAAATGGGTAACATTTCCTCTCTGTCAGTTTCAGTGGTTCTCTCTGGCCTTCTTGGCGTGAGGAAGGGGAGCTCGTGGGCCAGGAGGCGACCTAAGGGCTGCTCCCGCACTCCAGCGGATGACAGGGAGTCTGCACCAGTGTGACAGTGAGGAAGCTCAAGAATAAAGGGGTTTTGTGACTTCAGGACCTAGTGGGAGTCACAGATGGCTTCCAGGTTTGAGAGGCTGGGTGGGGAAGTGGCCACAGAGTTTGATGAGCAGACTGGGGAGAGAAGGCGAGGTTTGGACGTGCTGAGGTTTCAGTTCCTGTGTAAAAGCGTATAGAAGAACTTGAGGTGTTCCAGTGGAAGTGGGGTAGGAACGCCTGGAGCTGGGGGTGGAGGGGACAGCTGGAGAATGAGATTTTGGAATCAGCAGTTTACCAGTAGAAGATAGGCTATGGATGGACATACTAGGGGACATCAGAGTGGAGGGTCAGCTGGAGGTCTAAGGGAGGAGCCCTGGAAAGCACCTGCATGTGACAGAAAAGGATCCCACGTGGGCTGAGAGGGAGCCGGAGGAGAAGCGGGGTTGGGGGGTCTGAAGAGAGAGGGTCTCACCAGCAGCTTCCAGTGACGGGGCTCGGTTGGGAGCAAGACAGGCTGGTGGTTTGAGAAATGGAAGTTGTTGGTGACATCATGGACAGCTTCTTTGTGGTGATAGAGTCAGAACTTAGGATGGTTTGGGCAGAGGGATGAGGGAGGGTGGAATGTAGGACCAGGGAATGAGCAAACGGCCTGGCTCTGGTGGGATCGGGGCGTGGGGTGGCTCTGACAGGGGGCCTGTGTCCAGAGTGGGTCTCCTGTGGTGTTTTCTTCTTAAAGAAAGAAGTGATTTGATCATGCATAGATGCAGACAGCAAATTTCTAAGAAATTTGGAAAAGATTAAAATGCAGGAGAAGGTGATTTTTGATGAGCAGCTTCGCAGAGAAGGTAGAGAGAGAGTGAGACCCCAGCACAGGTTAAGGGTAGGCTTCCTCCAGGGCCTGCCCATCTGGAGCCCAGGTAGCACAGTTGTGTTTGCAGGGAGGCTTTCTCTCAGGTCACTGTGACCCTTGATGGTTATCTTCCCATCCAGTACCAATGCCTTTGCCACTTCTACCTGGAGCATCGGCTCTGTCCTCTTTTTTCAGTGGTGCATTGTGGATCCTGTGTTGTGGAGAAGCAGGCTTGCGTCCTCCTCATCTCTGTGAGCCCCTGCCTCCCCTCCCCCCACCCCACTCTTTTCTGCTCCCCTAGCCCTGGTCAAAAATCTACCCCAAATCCAACCTCTCCTGATGGAATGGACAGTATTTTCTCTACAGTCCCCATAGTGCTCTGCTCTGCCGTTGTATTCCACTCAACCTAAGGTATTGATGGTCTGAGGCAGTGCACACACTCCTGATGTAAACAACACACTTGTGATCTGGGAGAATGCCACGCCCCACGTTTGTACGGGCAGCACTGAAGCTCTACAGCTGATGAGAACGTGAGATGCTCATTGAGGGTGTTAGACTCTATTTTATTCCAGCAGAATTATTTAATGAGCTAATTTTTGACCATCCAGCCAATGCTTGTTATGATTATGTTTAGGGTTACTGTATATTTTAAGCTCTCTGTTTGCAGAATGCTAAATAGAATGATTTAATTACCCTTAACAGTTGTCCATTTCTTTGTTTCAGGGAATTGTGGGTAACTTGGCCAGTGGCAAGTCAGCCCTGGTGCACCGGTATCTGACTGGCACCTACGTCCAAGAGGAATCTCCCGAAGGTATGCTATTTGGCAGGCAGTTGCAACCTTCCTTAAGAGTTTAGTTTTTAACATTTTTCTTAAGCATATTCTAAATCATTACTTTGATATATCACATGTCAAGAAACTAATAAAACGTAGGAAGCAGTAAAAATCCTTAAGTATATTGTTTCTTCTGTAGTGTTTTTAGCAAACCAGTTATATTCACCTTGGTGTTTGGAGCAATATGTAGAGCGGAACCATGAAGCACTATTGAATTTATTTCTTATCTAATAGTTCTCTCCTTTCAAATGTTAATCCAGTGTTACTCCTTTAAATAATGGCTGGACATGTCTCTGATCTGGGTATAGGGCTTATACATAATTTATATGTAATGTTAATTAGTCATACATACAAGCTTTCCTAGATAAGACTCAGATTACCACCACATGTTTGAGTATGTTTCCCTTTATATTGTATTATACACATTTAATAATCATTTTGCATGAGAATAAGATATTTCTTTTGCCATTAGGCATTTACATCTTTGGTTCACATACTCATATTTTATTTTTTGCTTTAAATAAAATAATAATAATGGTAGGAAATCATTTAGCTCCTGTGTCCCCAGTCAGGGTATAGATCACAAGCAGTTTTCTAAATTATATTTTCTCTCCATGTAACCTTTTCAAATCCAACTCTGAGACACTGAATTTCTGGTTCCTTCTTTTTCTTACTGGCTGTTCCATTCTTTGCAGATATGGATGCAGGTAACTATACATTCTGTTCATGGCAGCGCTTGTCTTGTTTTGGAGAGAGAGGAGAGGCACAACTTTGTACTGTAGCGTTCCCTTCCCTCCTTGTTCTGTGTCTCACGCTGTTTCGTTTCATTTTACCTTTTTTTCTTTTCCGTTAAACATTTCACCCTGTTTTGTCCCTTAGATGTCTTTAGCAGTAGTCCTAAGTAGCTTCACATGTTTCCTGTAACACGTGTTCTAGTATTTAACTCTTGTCCTGGATACCGTGGAACCATTCAGAAAAGTGTACAGTTCTCTGGCAGGCTCTGCCACTATTTTGCAGAGTTTGCAATCATGTCATGAAAATCTCATGGCAGTCACATCAGGGGAAAGCCTACTTTTTTTGTGACCCATATTGAAATGATGATTTAAGCAGATTAGAGGTTAAAATGAAGGCCTTCATGTGGGAATAAATGAGAAGAGTCTTGGCTATGCAATGAGAAATGTGTACAGGTGCTAGAAGAAGACTGCGGGATTTGGAGAAGTGAGAGAACGCAGCATTTCCCCCGTTGTCTTTCCAGCTCCTTTCTTGGGCTCCGTCCTTCGGTTGTGCTGGTGTTTTATTTGTTCCTTTGTGTCTGAGTGTGCATTTTAGCCACAGCCAGTTGAAGTACACCTAGAGAGTCTTTTAGAGCTTTTCTCCCTTGGGTTTCCCACTTATTTCTCAGGGCTAGTGTCTTAGTCCATTTCTGTTGCTTATAACAAAATACCTGGAACTGGGTAATTTATACAGACAGTATTTATTGCTTACAGCTCCAGAGGCTGGGAAGTCCAAAGTCCAGGGAACACACTGGGTGAGGGTCTTCTTGGTGGTGGCTTTACAGCAATGCAGGCATCTCACATGGCAGAAAGTGGAGGAGCAGAGAGAGAGAACGTCTCATGTGCTCTTCTTTAAAAGTCCTTAGAACCATGCCCCTGACCACCGTTATTAATCCATTCACTATGGCATGGTCCAGCAGTCTAATCACCGCTTCAAGACTCCATCGTTCAATTACCGTAATAGGATTTCCCACTCTCAACAGTTACAGTGAGGATTTAGCTTCAATGTATGGATTTGGGGGGATACAGTTCAATCAGTGCATAACAGTTAGCTATTGTGGAGGTTAACGAGACCAGCTCTTGGTTAACTTGCTTGCAAGTGAGGTAAAGCTGCCTTCACGCCCCTGGAACTATCCAGATTTCAGTCCAGGGTTGCTGAAGTCGCATGGCCTGGGCCCCTGGTTTTCTTGCTGTTGCTCTGGCTTCTCTCGTTCTTGGCTGCAGGTATCTGGTATGGGCAGTGCTGGAGTCACTGGCTGCCTAGAGTAAGGACAAGGGCCACATCTCGCTTGTGGAGTCCTTTTCCCTATATTGCTATTTTGTCATTTTTGTGGCTTTTGTTTTTTCCTTTCGTGCATTCACAGTTTGTCCCATCGTGTTGGGGCCTGACTGATTTCTTCACAATGTGTAATGGGCCTTTATATTTTGGTTGGTATGAAGGCATTGCTCTTGAATTTTCATACATCAAAGGTTAAAATAGTACCAGGTGGGGTGCTGTAAACTGTGAGCATTGACAACCCTACTGCTCCGATTTTTCAGGTAACACATTTTACTCCACTGAAATTTCATAGTATCACGTATGGTTTTAAAAATACGTTATTTTAAAGGGTGTGAGCATGTGCAAATACATCTTCATCTGCAAAGTGGAAATACCCCATCCACTCCATGGGGCCCCGTGCTGAAGGCCTTGCAGGTGAGGGGAAAGATTGTCAGTAATCTTTTCTCCCTTCCTTCGGGAGCTCGCCTGGCCACATGGCCTCTCACCTGTTGACTCAAGGTCAAAGGGATGGTTCTGAGGGGGTGCAGAGAGCCTAGAACAACATGCCCAAGTATACGCCAGTGGGTGTGTGTCAGGGGCTTCCAGGAGGCTGAAAGAATTGTGCATACAGATGCCACCTTGTGCCTGGAAACTCCTTAGCCCTGGTGAATCTGTCTTTCCCAGGGGCTGGCCATCTGTCCTTGTCTGGAGCTGAGGAGGTAGCTACTATCTTCGCCTCTCTTCATGAGACCGGGAAACTGACTTCTGCTTCCTGTTCCCGTGACCCGCGAGTCTCACGACAGCGGCAGGAGGGAACCATAGCTGGTTGTTTCAGAAAGAAAGTGAATGAGAAAAGCCATGATTTCCCTCATGCCATCCTGAAGTTTTTTCTCATGGTCAGGGAGCCTGTAGCTGGAAAGTTATTTTAATTCTCGTCGAATGAGTTAACGCTGATCAATTTCCTGTACTTGTTTAGTGGAAAAGCTTTATGTGTAGAATGTTCTGGAGTTGAGATACAACTTACTGCTTTGTTGTCCAGATGTGTGGAGAGTTATCTGAGTGATGTGAGTCATCTCCGAGGTGTGCAGGAGGTAGACTAAGCCGATTATAGCTCAGCCTCACCTTCGACTAGTTACCTACAGGGACGGTTAGAGCTCAGCCCATGGTGAGTGTGGTCGATGCCAGATTGAGGAACTGGATTTGGAGTGAGCTGTGCGAGCTCATTTGTCCTTTTCTCTCAACTGCTGGAGTGATCGGCTGGGTAGCTACTTTCAGTGAAAGACATTTTGCTGTTTCGAGGCCATGTGAGCTGCCCGTCCAGACAGCTCACTGGGTCCTCCCTGCGCTTTTTCATGTCTGTACATAGGTGTTCTTCTGACTTGATGAATGTGCAAATATCCTTTATGCTGATTCCGACCCTTGGCTGGGATTTATAGATGGCTGGAGGGGTGAGGTGGTGATGGCCTTCTTGTTCTCAGAAGAGCTCCCTTAGTTGAAATTTCTGGTGCAGAACTGTCTCCACATCTGTTATCAGATACATCTTAGCTAGATTCCAGAGGGTAATGTCTGTGCTCTTTCAATTGCGTAATACATTTTGGTTGGTATTTTATTCTTGTGGTGAAGAGAGCTGACTCACAAGATTTAGATAATTTTAAAGATACAGTTCAAGTGAGGGAAGGATTAAAATGTTATGAGTTTTTCAGAGTGAATTAACATGCAAAAGTGAAAGTAATCCAAAGAATAAAATTTTTATATAGACCGCTACCCTTTTAATCGTGCACACATGTGTGTACATATATGTGTAAAATACGTATGTATCAGTTGCCTATGGCTGCTGTAACAAAGCGCTGCTAACTAGGTGGCTTAAAACAACAGCAATTGATTCTCTCACAGTATGGAGGTCAGAAGTCTGAAATCAAGGGATTTACAGGGTTGGTTGCTTCTGGAGCCTCCAAGAGAGACTCTGTTTTGTGCCTCTTCCAGCTTCTGGTGTTTGTCATCAATCCTTGGCTTTCCTTGGCTTGTGGACTCCTAACTTTAATCTCTGCCTCTGTTGTCACATAGTGTTTTCCCTGTATCTGTGTCCAAATTTCCATCATAAGGACACCGGTCATTGGATTTAGGGCCCACCCTACTCCAGTATGATATCATCTTCACTTGATCCCATCTGCAATGATCCTATTTCCAAATAGGGTCACATCACAGATATGAGGGGTTAGTACATGGGTGTGAATATATCTTTGGGGGAATGCAGTGAAACCCATAGCAGTACATGCAATTTTTAGATAGACACTGCACGTGGGACTGTTGGAGATAGACACTGCACGTGGGACTGTTGGATTTGGCCCCATCACTTCTTGGTGGTCACAGTTCTCTCTGGAGATGCTTTTGCGAGCATCACTGGTGTTACAGAACCCACAAGGTCCAGATCAGCTTGTATGTGACCTTCACGGCTGTGAGGAAGATTTCACAGCTGCCATTCACTTCCTACAAAGAGAATCCGATGAAGATCACTCCTTTGCCGTTAGTGCCCGATTAATGGCTGCTAATTAGAATTGTGAACGGCATATTAGATTTGTAATTTGAGTTTCCCCCTCATGTGTTTATGTGTTTAGTATTCACCATGTACTTGGCCTTTTCTGCCGCAGACGCCATGTTCCACCACTCAGTTTTTAATTCTCCTTTCAAAAAAAGGAAGAAAAGGTCGAAAGAAAGAGAAACAGGCCATCTGGTATTGTGTGAGAATTTGATAGGAAATGTGCACCTGCCCCAAGACACATTACCCCTTGCAGGCCTGGAGGTTGTGGTGTTTTTCAGAGATTTTTGGAGTTGCAGAGCTGAGTCATTGCTCGGAGACCTTACTCCCCAGGACATCTCTCTGTGTGTTGGTCCTGGTCTCCCTCTCGCTGTGCAGAGCAGTTCAGAAGGAGGGACCTGGGGACTGGAAG